GCTGCTGGAGCTGGTGGTGCTGCGGGCGTTGGAGCCGGAGGTGCTGGATCTGCTGGTCCTGGAGGTGCTGGAGGTGCTAGAGTCCCTGGTCCCGGAGGTGCTCGTACTGGAGGTACTAGAGATGCTGGAGCTGCTGGAGCTCGAGGTGCTACTGGAGCTGGAGCTGCAGGAGGTGCTGGAGTTGGTGGTACTTCAGGCGTTGGAGCTGGAGACCCTGGAGCTGGGGGTCCTGGTGCTATCGGTGCTGGTTCTGGAGGCACTGTGCGGCCGCGACCGTACTTTGTTCCACTGCTTCAGCAGGTTCTTGGTCTCCCGCCTGCTACTGGCCCTACTTTTCCCTTACTATGTCCACCGCCTGACCAGTCGTAGTCGCAGTTACAGCCAGCCTCCCCACTGCCTGCTCCTTCTCCTTACACTGGGCCGACAGGAGGTCTTGCCGAGCGTCGTGAGCCTGAGTCTCGTCCTGCGTCACCTGTTCGCACTGTTCGCACTGGTCGTCGTGTTCCACGTTCGTGTCCTCCTCCTGTCCCAGGCACGCACCAGATGGCACTTCGTCCTTCCTCTGTTCCACAGCGTGTCCCTCTGCCGTCTCCTCCTGCGTCCTCTCTTCCTGACGTTCCTGACCCGCCATCAGACCTTGCTCGTGCTGCCAGTCCTACTGTCACACGTCTTCTAGCCAGTGTTGTCACTGACCCTTCGTTTGAGTCCACTGCTGCGTCTGCCCTAGTTGCTGAGCTTGTTGACTTTGCTGCCGCCTGTCGCCTCGACTACGCCGCTAGTCTTGTTGCTGAGTCTGAGTCTGTCTGTCCTCCGTCCGTCGGGGGTGAGTGTGCTCTTGGCACGGACGTCCTTGAGGACAGGCAGGAGGACTTTGAGTGTTTTGCAGCTGCTGTACCTCATCTCGTGTCCATGCTGATTGCACCTGAGAGAGACCCGGATGCACCAGACATCCCGACCCCGCGCTCTTACGCAGAGGCGATTGAGGGTCCCTACTCCTCTCAGTGGCAAACAGCCATGGACGCAGAGATGGCTTCCTGGAAGTCCACAGGCACCTACGTCGATGAGGTTCCCCCACCTCGGGCGAACATCGTCAGTGGCATGTGGATTTTCAGGGTGAAGCGGCCGCCGGGTTCTCCGCCTGTCTTCAAGGCGCGTTACGTTGCACGAGGCTTCAGTCAGCGACAGGGAGTTGACTTTTTCCATACCTTCTCCCCTACCCCGAAGATGACCACTCTTCGGGTGCTGCTGCACGTCGCTGCTCAGCGTGACTACGAGCTTCACTCTCTTGACTTCAGCACAGCCTTCCTACAGGGCAGCCTGCACGAGGAGATCTGACTGCGCCGCCCACCTGGCTTCACTGGGTCGTTTCCTGCAGGTACCCAGTAGAGCCTCCAGCGGCCAGTCTACGGTCTTCGCCAGGCGCCTCGCGAGTGGCACGACACACTGAGGACGACACTTGCGGCTCTTGGGTTTGCTCCTTCGACTGCTGACCCGTCGCTGTTTCTACGCACCGACACATCTCTGCCGCCGTTCTACATCCTCGTGTACGTCGACGACTTGGTCTTTGCCACTGCTGACACTGCTAGACTGGCCTTTGTGAAGTCGGAGCTGCAGAAGAGACACACGTACACAGACCTCGGTGAGCTGCGCAGCTATCTTGGCTTGCAGATCACCCGGGACATGTTAGAATCACTAGCTAGGGAACGAGGAAGGTGTTGATTAGGTGAAGATTGGGGTACAAGACTAGAGTGTCGAGACTATTTTTGTACCCCCTAAGGCTAGCCCCAATATAGCCTAGATACAATTATGCATATGTTTTGACACACCCCCATAGGCGAAATGGGGGATACCCAGAGCAAGTAGTGGTCACAAGACCAGTCAGGAAGGGCAAAGCAAGCTCAGGGTGGATCTCGAGGAAACCACACAAATTCCGAGCACAAGCAAGTGGTCACAAGACCAGTTCACATGCAGTTTAATAATATAGCAAGGGGTACAGTGAGCACAACCTAGCAAGTGTAAGTATGCAGGTATATATATATAGAGATCACAGTACAAACAGAGTCAAGAAGTAAGCAAGTGAGGCACAGTAGGCACAAGGCCTAGAACAGTACAGAAGCGCCTTGATGAACACATCAGCAGTGTTGGCCCGAGTGGCCACGTAACGCAGACGAAGCTGACCACGCTGCTGCAGCTCTCGAGCAAGGAAGTACCGTAGAGCGATATGCTTCGTTCTGTGCTCCAGTCTGTGCTCCTCACACAAGGCAATGGTAGCCTTGTTGTCGACGTACAGCACTGGAGGAGAACGAGGCGGATCTCCCAAGTCGGTCAGCAGGTAGGTGAGCCAGCGTAACTCCTGTGCAGCCATGGCTGTGGCGTAGATCTCAGCCTCACAACTGGAGCTGAGAACGGAAGACGAGCGTGTAGAACGCCAAGAAACAGAACCAGAGCCAAGGCTGAAGGTGTAACCCTGAGACGACCGCTGAGTAGCCTGGTCGTCAGCCCAAGAAGCGTCTGAGTGCCCAGTGAGTACAACTCGGTCTCGTCTTCCAAGCACTAGCCCCATGCCCGACGTACTGCACAAGTAACGCAACACCCTCTTAGCGGCATCCATGTGCTCCTTCCGGTGACGACCAGGAGCGACATAGCGTGCAAGGATGCTAAGAGGGTATGCAAGGTCAGGTCGAGTGCAGGTCATCAGGTACATGAGGCAGCCCACAAGCTCTGGATACGGGCCACTCGGCTCTACGGACTCATCCGAAGGCAGAGCTGAGAGCGAGTGACCGGTAGGCAGAGGAGTGGGCTGAGGCGAGGAGTACGTGAAGCGGAAGCGCTGAAGGACCTGCTGCACCATGTGTGACTGAGTCAAGGTGATGGTGCGCCGTGCTCTGTCCCGGGTGATCCGCAAGCCAAGATAGCTTGTCAGTTCACCCAGGTCTGTGCACGTGTGTCTCTTCTGCAGCTCCGACTTTCTGAGGATGATTGAACGCCCCTCCCTAGGGATTCTTTCTGTGAAAGAACGGGTGGGCCTTGAGCCAAGGGTACCCCCCCATGTGCCTCGAACCCAGTCGCTTCTTGGGCTCCATCTCCTGCCAGCCACAACAAGGAGGAATGGAAGAGGATGATTGAACGCCCCTCCCTAGGGATTCTTTCTGTGAAAGAACGGGTGGGCCTTGAGCCAAGGGTACCCCCCCATGTGCCTCGAACCCAGTCGCTTCTTGGGCTCCATCTCCTGCCAGCCACAACAAGGAGGAATGGAAGAGGATGATTGAACGCCCCTCCCTAGGGATTCTTTCTGTGAAAGAACGGGTGGGCCTTGAGCCAAGGGTACCCCCCCATGTGCCTCGAACCCAGTCGCTTCTTGGGCTCCATCTCCTGCCAGCCACAACAAGGAGGAATGGAAGAGGATGATTGAACGCCCCTCCCTAGGGATTCTTTCTGTGAAAGAACGGGTGGGCCTTGAGCCAAGGGTACCCCCCCATGTGTCTCGAACCCAGTCGCTTCTTGGGCTCCATCTCCTGCCAGCCACAACAAGGAGGAATGGAAGAGGATGATTGAACGCCCCTCCCTAGGGATTCTTTCTGTGAAAGAACGGGTGGGCCTTGAGCCAAGGGTACCCCCCCATGTGCCTCGAACCCAGTCGCTTCTTGGGCTCCATCTCCTGCCAGCCACAACAAGGAGGAATGGAAGAGGATGATTGAACGCCCCTCCCTAGGGATTCTTTCTGTGAAAGAACGGGTGGGCCTTGAGCCAAGGGTACCCCCCCATGTGCCTTGAACCCAGTCGCTTCTTGGGCTCCATCTCCTGCCATTCACCAGGGGTTGGGGAAGAGGGACGAAGGATAGTTCAGACATACCCCCCAGGGGATGCCTTGGAAGAGCGGGTGGGATTTCAGGCGAGGATACCCCCCCCCATGTGCCTCGACCCCAGTCACTTCTTCGGCTCCATCTCCTGACAGCCACGAGGAGAAGGGGGAAGGACAAGGGATGATTCAAAACCCCCCAGGAGATGCCGCGGAAGAGCGGGTGGGCTTTCAACCAAGGGTAAACCCCCATGTGCCTCGACCGTAGTCGTTTCTTGGGCTCCATCTCCTGCTGCAAGGGGGGACCCTTAATTGAAAGCCCTCGGTATACAAACAGTCGGTTGCGACTCTCGGGGGAGACCCTTGGTTGACGGAGGGGGAAGGATACAAACAGTTGAGGAGGGGAACAGGGTGCGCGGTCGGTAATATCTTGGCCACATCAGGCAGTTGACATAGACGCTGTCTGTTTGACTCTCGAAGAGGAGACTCGATACATGCCGTACGCACCAGCAGGCACTTGACGAGCCTGTGAGCCTCGTTACTGATGTGGTTGGGAAGAGTCAAATCGCGAAAGTGAATGCCTGATCTTCTAGAAGAAGAGACACTCATTGCTCGACTCTTGAAGAGAAAACTCTATACATGTAGGAAACACCGGCCACCTGACGCACCAGCAAGCAGTTAATGAGGCTGCGAACCTCGTTGCTGGAGTGGTTGGGCATGGTGAGATCCCGAAAGAGAGGGAAGCACAGGTAAGAAGGAGACACCCGCTGGGTAACCTTTTACAGAGGAACCCGATATATCTGATGACATACACACCGCAAGCAGTTGACGAGGCTGCGGGCCTCGTTGCTGAAGAAGTTGGGTACGGTGAGGTTGCGAGAGAGAATTCTTGAACTTTTGGAAGAGGGAAGCCACGTGAAAAAAGGAGTGTTTTGAGACGTCTCAAAACACTTCTTTTTTCACGAAGTTGGGTACGGTGAGGTTGCGAGAGAGAACTCTTGAACTTTTGGAAGAGGAGACACTCGCTGGGGGATTTTTTAAGAGGAATCTCGATACATGTAGTAGGCAGAGCAGAAGGCATACCAGGAGGTAGTTGACGAGGCTGCGAGCTTCGTTGCTGAAGTGGTTGGGCACGGTGAGATCCCAAGAGAGGATCTTCTGGAAACAGAGGTCCTTGCTGTGCAACTCTCTAAGAGGCAACTCAATATATGTAGAAAACACCACCAGAAAGCACCTGACGCACCAGTAAGCAGTTGACGAGGCTGCGGGCCTCGTTGCTGAAGTGGTTGGGCACGGTGAGATCCCGAGAGAGGATCTTCTGAAAGCACAGGTATTCGCTGGCTCCTTTAAAAGGCGGCGCACCGGCTAGCATCTGATAGATGATGTAGCCTAGCGCCCAGAGGTCGGCCCTGGTTGAAAGGAGTGGGGAGGGGTGAAGACGGGTGGAGAGGGGTGGATAGAGTTAATGAGGGGTGAAGAGGCATGCGGGGGGGGGTTTTTGGAAGAACAGGTTCTCACTGGCTCCCTTGAATGGCGGCATACCCGCCATGATGCAGCCTAGTGCCCAGAGGTCCGCTCTGCACAGGAGTGGAGAGGGGTGGAGAGAGGATCTTCTGGAAGCACATGTACTCGCTGGGCCCCTTGAAGGGCGGCGCACCCGCCAGCATCTGATAGATGATGCAGCCTAGCGCCCAGAGGTCAGCCCTAGGAAAGGGAGGAGTGTAGAGGCTTGAAATGAGGTAAAGAGGGGTGAAGAGGAGAGCACGGGTACTTGCTAGCCCCCTTAAAGGAAGTGCACCGGCAGCATCTGATAGATGATGCAGCCTGGCGCCCAGAAGTCGGCCCTGGGGAGGGGAGGGATGGAGAGGGTTCAAAAGAAAAAGCAATACAAGACAAATGGGCTTCGTGAGAGTACAAAGGCACAATGAGCGGGCTTCATGAGACTTTTGAGAATTTCAAATGTGGGCTCCTGAGAGTGGGCCATGCGCACGAGGGGCATACTCCACCCCACCCTGTTGATTGAGGTGCATTAAAGCCCGCCATGGCATAGAGGTGAATAGGAGCTCACTCAAAGGACACAGGGCCATCGCCCAACACACCAGCTGCGGAGGGTCATACTCTGCAGTGCTGTATTGAGGTGCACTAACGCATGCGATGGCATGGCATGGGATGGCATGACATGGGATGGCACGGCATGGCATGGCATGCATGACATGTCAGCATGGAATAGCATGACGTTGCATGGGCATGGGTGCATGGGCGCTCACTCACTCGAAGGACACGGGCCCATCGTCGAGCAGCTCTGGAGGGACGTACTCTGCTGTGATGTGATGTGTGGTGAGGTGCTCTAACACATGCTCTAACACATGCTCTAACACATGGGCACATGGGTGCATGCAACTCACTCAAAGGACACAGGGCCATCGTCAAGCAGCTCTGGAGGGACGTACTCTGCTGTGATGTGATGTGTGGTGAGGTGCTCTAACACATGCTCTAACACATGGGCACATGGGTGCATGCAACTCACTCAAAGGACACGGGGCCATCGTCAAGCAGCTCTGGGGGGACGTACTCTGCTGTGATGTGATGTGTGGTGAGGTGCTCTAACACATGCTCTAACACATGGGCACATGGGTGCATGCAACTCACTCAAAGGACACGGGGCCATCGTCAAGCAGCTCTGGAGGGACGTACTCTGCTGTGATGTGATGTGTGGTGAGGTGCTCTAACACATGCTCTAACACATGGGCACATGGGTGCATGCAACTCACTCAAAGGACACAGGGCCATCGTCAAGCAGCTCTGGAGGGACGTACTCTGCTGTGATGTGATGTGTGGTGAGGTGCTCTAACACATGCTCTAACACATGGGCACATGGGTGCATGCAACTCACTCAAAGGACACGGGGCCATCGTCAAGCAGCTCTGGGGGGACGTACTCTGCTGTACCCACAAACGACCCACTGCGTTCATCTGTGGTGTACCAGGGTAGAAGGAGGAGAGAGGAAGGCACGGGTAGCACATGGTAGTGAGGGGAGTGAGTGTGTGAAGCAGCTCTGGGGGGACGTACTCTGCTGTGCCCACAAACGACCCACTGCGCTCATCTGTGGTGGAGGGGGGAGAGACAAGAGAGAGACGGCGGGTAGGAGAGGAAAGAGTGGAAGGAATAAGAGAGATATGGAAAAGAGACAAAAGGGAGTCAGGGAGAAAGCGAGAAATTTGAGAAAGGGGGTACAGGAGGCAGGCATGATATAGAGACAGAGCGGATGGGAGATGTGAAAGAAAGAGGGGGTGAGAGGATGGCCGATGTGAGGACAAGTGGAGGAACTTTTAAGAATTCTCAAAAGTACCATCAGCGAAAAACTTGAGAAAGGGGGTACAGAAGGCAGGCATGAAATAGAGACAGAGCGGATGGGAGATGTGAAAGAAAGAGGGGGTGAGAGGATGGCCGATGTGAGGACAAGTGGAGGAACTTTTAAGAATTCTCAAAAGTACCATCAGCGAAAATCTTGAGAAAGGGGGTACAGAAGGCAGGCATGAAATAGAGACAGAGCGGATGGGAGATGTGAAAGAAAGAGGGGGTGAGAGGATGGCCGATGTGAGGACAAGTGGAGGAACTTTTAAGAATTCTCAAAAGTACCATCAGCGAAAATCTTGAGAAAGGGGGTACAGAAGGCAGGCATGAAATAAAGACAGAGCGGATGGGAGATGTGAAAGAAAGAGGGGGTGAGAGGATGGCCGGTGTGAGGACAAGTGGAGGGCGGGAGGATGGACAAAGAGAGGGATGGGTGGAGGAGGGTCGGAGGAGGAAATGAGAAAGCGAGGAGTTAGGGGAAGAGGGAAAGGAGGAGGGAGGGGAAGAGGGAGCGGAGGAGGGAGGGGAGGTGACAGACTGTCCAAAACTCACCGTTGTTAATAGCAGCTGCGGTGGCATCTACTGCTGACGTGGCCCCATCTGATTGGCCGTTGCTAAGCAGCTTGGCACAGCCAAAGTCGGAGATGCGCACGTGGCCTGCTGCTGTGAGGAGAATGTTTTCCGGCTGTTTTTGTTGACAGGGGTGGATGGGGAGGCAGGGGGAGTGGGGAGAATGGGGAGGGAGTGGGTAAGGGAAGGGAGAAAGGGAGGGAAGGGGCGCAGCCAAAGTCGGAGATGCGCACGTGGCCCGCTGCAGTGAGGAAAATGTTCTCCGGCTGTGTTGATGTGTAATGGGCAGGACCGGGGGGGCAGGGAATGGGGAGAACGGGGAGGATGGGGGGAAGGAAGGGGCACAGCCAAAGTCGGAGATGCGCACGTGGCCCGCTGCAATGAGGAGAATGTTCTCCGGCTGTTTTGATGTGTAATGGGCAGGACCGGGGGGGCAGGGAATGGGGAGAACGGGGAGGATGGGGGGAAGGAAGGGGCACAGCCAAAGTTGGAGATGCGCACGTGGCCTGATGCTGTGAGGAGAATGTTCTCTGGCTGTGTTGGGGGAGACGGGGAGGGGAGTGGTGGGATGGGTGGGATTGGAGGAGAAGTCGGAGATGCGCACGTGGCCTGATGCTGTGAGGAGAATGTTCTCTGGCTGTGTTTTGGGAGACGGGGAGGGGAGTGGTGGGATGGGTGGGATTGGAGGAGAAGTCGGAGATGCGCACGTGGCCTGATGCTGTGAGGAGAATGTTCTCTGGCTGTGTTGGGGCGGGAATATGTGGAGGTGAAGGGGGGGGAAAGAGATGCGGAGATGCGCACGGCGCTTGATGATGCCGTGAGGAGGATGTTCTTTGGCTGTGTGGGAGAGGAGGTGAGGGGCGGGATAGATAGGGACATTTGGATTTTTTGTCGACTTAGATGTCAAATGTCGCACATGGGGGGGTCATCGCAACCCATGAGCACTGAGCTTTATGCAGATGCTCGACAACATAGTCGAGCTTTTCTTATTTTTTTGGAGAAGACATACCCCAAAACAGCTAACAAAAGCTCAACTATGTTGTCCAGCATCTGGATAATGCTTAGAGCTCATGTGTTCTCCCCAGACTCAGACGCCAGAGATGTGCGCGTGGCCCGCTGCAGTCGACTCAGACGTCACTGAAAAGAATGTTCTCTAGCTGCGTACGTGACTTTTGAGTCGACTCAAAAGTCGCAAGTAGCCCGATGCATTGAAAATAATGTTTTCTGGCTGCGTACGTGTGTGCGGGGGGTGGAGGGGGAAGGGGGAGGGGTGGGAGAGGGATGGGGAACGAGCAAGTGGGGCTGGAGGGAAGGGAAGTGGAGATGCGCACGTGATCCAACGCACCACTCCTTGCGAGTGCATGAACTCCAAAGAGCGCACCACCATTCAACTTGTACTCGTTATAAGATTCACCAGTGCTCACCTTCAGATCCCTGTGCACCACTCGTTGCAAGAGCATATACCCCAAAGGACACACATCCATTCGACTCGTACTCTTTATAAGCTTCACCAGTTCTCACCTTGCGAGTGCATGTACTCCAGAGCGCACGCCACCACTAAACTTGTACTCGTTATAAGCATCACCAGTGCTCACCTTAAGGTCTCTGTGCACCACCCCTTGCGAGTGCATGTACTCCAGTGCACACACCACCACTTAACTTGTACTCGTTATAAGCATCACCGGTGCTCACCTTAAGGTCTCTGTGCACCACCCCTTGCGAGTGCATGTACTCCAGTGCACACACCACCACTTAACTTGTACTCGTTATAAGCATCACCGGTGCTCACCTTAAGGTCTCTGTGCACCACCCCTTGCGAGTGCATGTACTCCAGTGCACACACCACCACTTAACTTGTACTCGTTATAAGCATCACCGGTGCTCACCTTAAGGTCTCTGTGCACCACCCCTTGCGAGTGCATGTACTCCAGTGCACACACCACCACTTAACTTGTACTCGTTATAAGCATCACCGGTGCTCACCTTAAGGTCTCTGTGCACCACCCCTTGCGAGCGCATGTACTCCAGTGCACACACCACCTCTGCTGCATAGAAGCGAGCTTCCTCCTCTGATAGCTTTCCTTTCTGCGTATGCAAGAGAAGTACAGAGGAGTACAGAGGAGTACAGAGGGGTAGAGAGGAGTATATGCATTCGAGTGCACACAGCACCACCATCTCCTTGCGAGTGCATGTACTCCAGTGCACACACCACCACCATCTCCTTGCGAGTGCATGTACTCCAGTGCACACACCACCACCATCTCCTTGCGAGTGCATGTACTCCAGTGCACACACCACCACCATCTCCTTGCGAGTGCATGTACTCCAGTGCACACACCACCACCATCTCCTTGCGAGTGCATGTACTCCAGTGCACACACCACCACCATCTCCTTGCGAGTGCATGTACTCCAGTGCACACACCACCACCATCTCCTTGCGAGTGCATGTACTCCAGTGCACACACCACCTCGGCTGCATAGAACCGCGCTTCCTCCTCTGATAGCTTTCCTTTCTGCGTATGCAAGAGAAGTACAGAGGAGTACAGAGGAGTACAGAGGGGTAGAGAGGAGTATATGCATTCGAGTGCACACACCACCACCATCTCCTTGCGAGTGCATGTACTCCAGTGCACACACCACCACCATCTCCTTGCGAGTGCATGTACTCCAGTGCACACAGCACCACCATCTCCTTGCGAGTGCATGTACTCCAGTGCACACAGCACCACCATCTCCTTGCGAGTGCATGTACTCCAGTGCACACACCACCTCGGCTGCATAGAACCGAGCTTCCTCCTCTGATAGCCTTCTTTTCTGCACGTGGAAGGAACACCGAGGAGTACGGAGGAGTTAAGAGGAGTAGAGAAGATTCATACACTCCAGTGCACACACCACCTCGGCTGCATAGAACCGCGCTTCCTCCTCTGATAGCTTTCCCTTCTGGGTGCGGAAGGAACACAGGAGTACAATGGAGTACAGAGAAGTAGAGAGGCGTACATAGGGGTGTTCAGAGAGGATTCATGTATTCGAGAGCACACACCACCTCTGCTGCATTGAAGCGAGCTCCGTCCTCTAATAGCTTTGATTTCTGCACGTGGAGGGAACACAGAGGAGCACAGATGAGTACAGAGGAGCACATAGGAGGAGTGCAATGGAGTACAGAGGAATACAGGGGAGTGCAGAAGAGTACAGAGGAGTATAGAGAATTACAGAGGAGTACAGCGGAGTAACTCGGCGTACAGAGGAGGAGAAAAGAGAGCACTCATCGATAGGGAAACAACAAGGTATCCAACAGGCGCAGACAGCCCCTGCTGCATAGATTAAAAGGGAAGGACTTTTGACTCGATATAGAAATCAAATCCTGCTGCATAAATTAAGACAGAAAAGAGGGACCGAAAGAAATATGCGGGCGTTCACAGACAAGGCAAGAGGCGGAGCAGACATTACTGCAAGGCTTTTGAGACATCTTAAAAATAGCGGGCGTTCACAGACTAGGCAAGAGGCGGAGCAGACATTACTGCAAGGCTTATAGATTTGTCTTAAAAATAGCGGGCGTTCACAGACTAGGCAAGAGGCGGAGCAGACATTACTGCAAGGCTTTAGATTTGTCTTAAAAATAGCGGGCGTTCACAGACTAGGCAAGAGGCGGAGCAGACATTACTGCAAGGCTTTAGATTTGTCTTAAAAATAGCGGGCGGTCACAGACTAGGCAAGAGGCGGAGCAGACATTACTGCAAGGCTTTAGATTTGTCTTAAAAATAGCGGGCGTTCACAGACTAGGCAAGAGGCGGAGCAGACATTACTGCAAGGCTTTAGATTTGTCTTAAAAATAGCGGGCGTTCACAGACTACGCTACACGAGAGGCAGAGGCGCAGACATTACCATAAGGACCGACGCTGTGTACAGTGGGGTAAAAGGAGAAGGGCGAAGCAGGGCGAAGGGAGAGAAGAGAAGCAAGGCGATTGGAGCAACGCTGATTCCCATACCATACCAGTCTGATCTGGTCGAAGAGCTCTCCCCCATGGCAGCACTCCAACCCCATATCTGTGGTGGGTCAGAGGGACAGAGGGAGGGGAGGAGTGGTGGGGTGGAATGGAGGTGAGGAATGGAAACGGGGGAACGGAGGTGAGGTTGGGGAGGTAAGGGAAGGACGAACGATCTGATTTGGTCGAAGAGCTCTCCCCCATGGCAGCACCCCAGTCCCATGTCTGCAGTGGATGAGGTGAGGGGTAGAGGGAGGGGAGGAAAAGAAGGGAGGTATGATCGACAGAAGACCCCATGTCTGTGGCGGTTAAGAGAGTCTTATCGACGAGCTCTCCTCTCCCCCATGGCAGCACTCCAGCCCCATGTCCGTGGCAGAAGAGGGGAGGAGCAGCGGGGAGGTGGAAACGGGATGATTGACTTGACTGGGTCCGATAATCCGATTCGGTTGAGGAGCCTCCTCCATCACGGCATTGCATATGAGTCCCATGTGGGGGGCTCACATCACAGAGGGAATGTTGATCTTAAAGCCCAACAATCCGATTCGGTTGAGGAGCCTCCTCCATCACGGCATTGCATATGAGTCCCATGTGGGGGGCTCACATCACAGAGGGAATGTTGAACTTAAAGCCCAACAATCCGATTCGGTTGAGGAGCCTCCTCCATCACGGCATTGCATATGAGTCCCATGTGGGGGGCTCACATCACAGAGGGAATGTTGATCTTAAAGCCCAACAATCCGATTCGGTTGAGGAGCCTCCTCCATCACGGCATTGCATATGAGTCCCATGTGGGGGGCTCACATCACAGAGGGAATGTTGATCTTAAAGCCCAACAATCCGATTCGGTTGAGGAGCCTCCTCCATCACGGCATTGCATATGAGTCCCATGTGGGGGGCTCACATCACTGAGGGAGTGCTCGTCTTGGAACGTAAAGAGCCGGGCTCACAGAGGGAACGTTGATCTTAAAGCCCAACAATCCATGTCTCACACACAGGGGGGGTGCTCATCTTGGAAGGTGAGGAGGAGGAGCAGGCGCACGACCCCCGGGTTCCTGACAGCAAGAATCTTAGTCTAAAGCCCAAAGGCAGATTGTACACAGGAAGATACTGTGTCGAAGGCCAGTGCCCATAGCCAGGCTCACAAAGGGAGGGAGTGAACGTCCTGAAACGTGAAGAGCAGGTGCACGACCCCCCGGTGGCTCAGGAAACCCAGAAGCAGATTATATACAGAGGAAATGTTTGGCCTGAAACCCAAGCAAGCAGGTCTGGCTCACAGAGGGAGTGCTCGTCCTGAAACGTGAAGAGCAGGCGCACTACACGGCCCCCGACCCGACCCTTCCTTGTATGCCTGCCACCTTCCTCTCCTTCCCTCACTACGCCCATTATCTCAGTGCACACTCAGAGAGCTAGGCCGAGTGTGGACACTCCTTTCATCCTCCTTATAAGCAGCCTCGCTTAGAGAATCGGTCTCAGAGAGGGAGTGCTCGTCTTAAAGCGTACAGGGCTCACAGAGGGAGTGCTCGTCCTGAAACGTGAAGAGCAGGTGCACGGCCCCCGGGTGCCTGAGGTGGTCGAGAATGAGGCGCTCCATCTTGATGAATGCCACCTTCCCTCCCTCACTATGTGCCGCTTGTCCATCACCTTCAAAGGTTACTCGTTATAAACAGCCTCACTGAGAAGAATGAGGCGCTCCATCTTGATGCATGCCACCTTCCCCTCCCTCACTGTGTGCCGCTTGTCCATCACCTTCAAAAGATACTCGTTATAAACAGCCTCACTGAACGAATGAAGCGCTCCATCTTGACGTACGCCACCTTCCCCTCCCTCACCATGGTACCACGCGGACAGCCCTATCCTCGTTATAAAAAGCCTCACTGAGAGAATGAGGCACTCCATCTTGATGAATGCCACCTTCCCCTCCCTCACTATGTGCCGCTTGTCCATCGCCTTCAAAAGACACTCGTTATAAACAGCCTCACTGAGAAGAATGAGGCGCTCCATCTTGATGAATGCCACCTTCCCTCCCTCACTATGTGCCGCTTGTCCATCACCTTCAAAGGTTACTCGTTATAAACAGCCTCACTGAGAAGAATGAGGCGTTCCATCTTGAAGCACTCCACCTTCCGCTCCCTCACTATGGTACCACGCAGACAGCCATCATCCTCGTTATAAGCAGCAGCCTCATGTAGAGAAACTCAGCCTTAAACACAATCATCCAGGGCTCACAGAGGGAGTGCTCGTCCTGGAAGGTGAAGAGCAGGCGCACAACTCCCGGCCCCGGGTGCCTCAGCCGGTCGAGAATGAAGCGCTCCATTTTATTGTATGCCACCTTCCTCTCCCTCACTATGGTGGTCACCACTCTCATCCTCCTTATAAACAGACTCACTGAATGAATCCTAGCCTCCTAAGAGCCCAGACGCAGGGCGCACACATGTATTTCCCTGGATTAAATCCCAAGAGACCATTGCTCACAGAGGGAGTGCTCGTCCTGAAACGTGAAGAGCAGACGCACGACTCCCGGGTGTCTCAGCCGGTCGAGAATGAGGCGCTCCATTTTTATGTATGCCACCTTATTCTCCTTCACTATGTGCCACTTGTCCATTATCTTCAATGCGCACTCAGAGCCAGGCGGACGCCCCTCTCATCCTCGTTATAAGCAGCCTCACGTAGAGAATCTCCCTCAGCCTAAAAGCCCAAACCAAGCATCCAGGCACCATGTCTCACAGAGGGAATGTTCGTCTTGGAAGGTGAAGAGCAGTCGGACAATTCCAGGATGCCTCAGCCGGTCAAGAATTAGGCGCTCCATTTTTATGTATGCCACCTTCCTCTCCTTCACTATGTGCCTCTTGTCCATGATTTTCAATGCGCACTCGGAGCCAGGCGGACAACCCTCGTCCTCGTTATAAGCAGCTTTGCTTGGCTTGCGGCGGGCCAGGACAACCTGGTGGGGTCAAGAAGATGGGAGAACAAAGAAAGGCGAGATTGCAAAGCAAAGGAGCGTGGATTTCGAGAAATCCTTTGGTTTAATAATTTTACTTTTGACTGAATCTTCACCAGCGCAAAATTCTATTGACGTTGATTTTTAGCTGAATTACCTACTCAGGTGAACAGTTTCTCTTTTGACGACGCTTAGCTCTAACATGCCAGTGGCCCGGGCGGGCGATGGGTTCATGTGAAACTCACGAAGGGGTCTCACTACGCCAAGGATGAGAGGGTCTTGTTTCCAAAATGGAGAGGCTTACAACGAGGATGGAAGGGCCTTACCTTGGAGTAGGAGCCAAGACCCAGGAGCCGCCCATAGGTGAAGTCCCGAGCCGAGAGAGCCAATCGCGGCGCGCCACCTGTCGCTGCTGCTCCATTTGTTCCTCCAATTGCTGCTGCTCCCCCACTCTCTGCTTGTCCTCCGTTTCTTGCCCCTGCTTCACGTGTCGCTGCTCCATTTCCCCCCAAAATCGCCGTCACCAATCCATATCCAACTGCTCCCGAATCCTCTGCTGCTGCTGCCGCCGCCGCTGCTGCTGGCGCCGCCGCTGCTCCGTCTCCCCCCTGTGTTCCACCGTTGGCGCCTACTGCGGCGCCATTGCTCGCTTTATGACTTCTTAGGTCATCAAAGGTGGCAATAAATCCGGTACTGCCTCCGTTCGCTCCCACGGCGGCCATGGGAGCCGTTGCACGAGCGAGTCTTGGCGAGGGAGTCTTGAACAGACCTTGACGAGCGTTCTTTAACGAATATTGGCGAGCTTCCCGTTCAAGCATATACTGTTCGTGTCAACCCGTGTCTTCTTTAGTCGACTCAAACGCTTCACGTATCTATTTTTGCAGATTGCTCGTGTCAACCGCCTATGCCGCTCCCAAGTAACGCGTCGCGTACTGTCGCCTTGTTCTTACGGTTAGGACACTGTCAAAGCGGCTGTACCAATCCCGTTATGAGACCCTTCCCGTCATGGCTGCTTAAAGAAATTATTTGTTAAGGAATTGATTGTCCAGCTAGAGCGAGGAGGTAGGACTAACGACCCTAAGACCAATGGCTCGTTTCGGCAATCCCGGTGCCATAGGTCCAATTCCGATGACGTTCACGAAGCGACGGGTAGAATTAACGGCCTAGCGTAATTGCAAAAGTGTGATTGCCATTGGTAGGAGCGGGATTATTGCCGACGTTTTCATGACGGCCGTCATACAGAAGTCGCTGGGACTAACCGGCAACAGTTAACCCTAACGGCGCGGCTGAGGCTGAGAACGAAAAGGAGAAAGGCGTTGCGATTCCAAACCGACGAATTCCGTTCGTTCGGATTACTTCTTGAAATTGAAGTTATAGACGAGGGAGGGTAAATGGTAAGGAGAAAGAAAGAAAACACCTAGAAAGAAAAGGTAAGATCAAAGTAAAACCAAGCTGAAAAGCAAAAACAAGTTGAAAGGAAATCTTGAAGTATGGAGTAATTAAGAATGAAGAAAGTTTTGAAGGAGAAGATAGATAGACTTGATAGGGATAAAAGGGACCAAACAAGATTGGCTTAAAAGAAAGTATTGAAGAAAATGTAAAGGGCTTGAAAGATACTTGAAAGGAACTTGTAACGAACTTGAGAATAAGAACTTGATTATTATGGAAAGAGCTTGAATATAAAACAACTTGATAATAGCAAATGAACTTTGATGTAAAAGAAACTTGGTGAAAAATGAGAGGAAGGGATAACCACTTACTTGAAAAGAGTTCTTACTATTATGTTGTAGAAGTTGATCTTCACTTCAAGCTTAAATGTTGTCTTAGTTGTTAATGAAGAACCTCAAAGCTTGAATGTTGAGAAGTTGATCTTGAATGTTGACTTGTAGATAATGTTTGTTGAATGAAGAGAAACCTCCAAGCTTGGATGTTGAGGTTGGAGCTTGGACCTTGGGTAGAAGAATACACCAATCTTGCTTGAAGCTTTAAAGTACATTAATCAAAGGGAGGTACATGGTAGGATCTTGAGATCAACTATCCTTGATGATCTAGAAGTAAAACTATGTGGCACAAACTTCTCTAGAATTGGAGCATATGGCTATGAGCTTGGGTTGGGAGAGGTT